TTTTTATCATGAATGGGTGTTGGACTTTGTCAAAAGCTTTTTCTGCATCTATTGAGAGGATCATATGGTTTTTGTCCTTGGCTCTGTTAATATGGTATATTACATTTATTGATTTGCACATGTTGGACCATCCATGTATCCCTGGGATGAATTCTACTTGATCATGGTGTATAATCTTCTTGATGATTTGCTACACTCTGTTTGCCAGTATCTTATTGAGTATTTTTGTATCTATGTTCATTAGTGAGACTGGCCTATAGTTCTCTTTTTCTGTTAGGTCCTTCTCCAGTTTTGGTAGTAGGGTAATGCTTGCTTCCAGGAATGAATTTGAGAGTATTGCTTCTCTTTCAATTTCATTAAAGAGTTCAAGAACTTGTGCAGTTGGCCTTCTCTAAGTTTCTTGTAGAATGCTTTTAAATTTAAATGTTCTTAGGGTTTAACATTACTATAACTTCCATATAAAGGAAACAGAAAATTAAAATAGAAACACTGCTTCAAAATTTAAAAAGCTACTACCAAACATATTGAAAATGAAGAATGAATAAAATGGAGCAGCCTATTCTAAGTAAAAAATATTTAATATTATCAGATAAAAACGATTATGACAGTTTTACATGGCTCATTTCATACATAATGTAAAGTGTAGAACATCACTGGGCAAGAAATTGTAGTTGGGTTGCCAAATAATTCATAGACCACATAAAAGCAATGAATACATGATGACACATACTTAAATTATTACAAAATTGTTACAGCCAACTGCATTAAATATCTTGATGTGTTCCACTACAGGAAAAGAATCTTATACATGTATCTTTGTAACTGATAAGAAGTTCAAAGTCAACACTGATACTGTGATAAACTGGTCACTGTTTTTCTAATCTAGAAGTTTGTCTTAAATAGATTTGTCTTTGGCTAATCACTCTTATTATGTCTGAATTTTATTTAACAGTGTGATTGAAGATATAGAATACTTTTTAAACCACTGGGTAAAAACAAAACTTAATGACAGGCACAAAGGTTAACATCTTATGTTAAAAAGATGGAATATATTGAGTTGAATTAAATATGTTTTATGAGGAGTTGGACACATTATTAAATCTCAAAATCTGTTTATGAAAATTTTTTTTGGTACCAGGAATCAAACTCAGGACCTTGAGTTTGCCAGGCAGGTGCTTGTGCCAATGAGCTATATCCCTGACCCTGTTTATGAAGTTTTGTAGGAAAGTATGTGTATACCCCGTTACTCTGTTATACTTTCTTCGAAAGGAATATATCTGGCAGTAAATGAAACAAATCAAGACAAGTAAAATTATGTGACAGAAAAGTGCTCCATCAGAGCAGCCTATCTTGACTTATAATTCATACTACCATGTTTCTTAGTTGTGGACCAAACAGGAACAAACAGACCCAGCTACACAGTACTTACATGATATATGAAAATAGAATCTAGAGTTATGATGAGGTTGCTTCAATGATGAGCATCCCCCACTCTGCCATAATTAATTATGAATGTAAAATTCATTCAGGAAATTAATATTCCCATGAAATGCTTATAATTTCTCAAATTTTCTTGGTAGATATGCTCCTGATTACATGTAGAAAGCTAAAAGATGCTCTAAGAGTTAAGGAAATCCATATAAAAGAAATATTTAGCCAGGTGTGGTAGTGCACACCTGTACCGCAGCTACTTAGGAGGCTGACGCAGGAGGATTCCAAATTGGAGGGTAGTCTGGGCAATGCAAAGAGACCCTGTCTCAAGATAAAAGAGCTGGAGATATACATCAGTAGTAGAACACTCCTGGGTTCAATCTCCAGTAGGGAGGAGAGAAGGGTTATTTTATAGGGATCTTACTTCACTCACTTGAAATTTCCTTCACCAAAGTAATAAAGCAGAACTTTGTAAACTAAACTCTTGGAACAAAGCTCTGGTGGCCATATTTTGTAGTCTTGATGAATCTTGAAGTCCATTCATTTTTCATGTTTCAAGGGTCTCTTCATTTGCTCCACAAGTATCAACAACACAAATCAAACAGCTTGTGACCGGGAAAGCACGAACTTTGGAATTGGCCACCCATTTGTCTGTTTCAGTATTATATTCGAGGATGTGTCCTAATCGGCCTACACCTTGAAAACCAGCCAAGACATAAACCACAGAGCCAACTGCTGCACACTTCACTGTCACGCCCTTCCATGGCATTGGTGACACCATCTTCCATTCATTTAATTTAATATCATAATATTCCACATTGTCTAGACCACCTTAAAAATAAAAATAACATGAATAACGTGAACAACTATATAAACAATTATAAGATCTCCTAATCATTTTTCTATTTCCAACATTTTCAAAATAAAATTTTCACACCCAAAGGTTGTAAGAATTTTATAATGAAAGGCCTCATATCTACTTCTTCAATTCTTTTTACTTTCACACAATAGAACTTTAAAAATTTTAAAGAAGCATATTGATATTTTTTCTACAAAACTGAAAATGTTCTATCCATTCTGGACAAATCAAAAAAGTAAGCCATTGATTAACTTTGATGATAATTATTTGAATTTTTTTTTCCTTCCTTTAGCCATTTATGGAAAACAGTAATGGATGAGGATAGATGGGCAAGAAGTTATTTCTTTGTTATACTTCAAGCTTAAACATACAGACTAAAATGAAGCCATAACTACCTAAGATTCAGTTCAGATTGCTCATTATTTAATACAATTATTTAAGATTCTTTAGCATATAATTAATAGGAAGGTCAAATTTCATCATAATAACTGATTTTTTTTCATGTAGTGTTTAAAAATGCTTAGGAAAATTTATTATTTAGAACTCAGATACAGGCTGGGGATATAGCTCAGGGGCACAGCACCTGCCTGGCAAGCACAAAGTCCTGAGTTTGATTTCTGGTACCTTTTTTTTTGGTCTTTTTTGAGACAGGGTCTCGCTATGCAGTTCAGGCTGGCCTTGAGCTCACTTTGTAGCCCAGGCTGGCCTCGAACTCACAACGATCCTCCCGCATCAGCCTCCCGAGTGCTGGGATTACAGGTGTGCGCCACCACGCCTGGCTGATTCCTGGTGCCTTAAAAAAAAAAAAAAGAGAGAGAACCCAGATACAAGGCCTAAAGCTTCTGTTTGAAAAGTTCCTAAATATTTTTTTTTTTGTTTTCATTATTACAGTACTGGAGATCTAACCCAGGGACTCATTTTTAAACTTTTTGGTACTGGAATCGAACTCAGGACCTTGAGAGCTTGCTAGGCAGGCACTGTGCCACTGAGCTATATCCATGGCCCTAACCTAGGGCCTCATGCAGGCTAGACAAGTACTCTACCACTGAACTGCACCTCTTGGTTTTTGGTTTTTTTTGCGGTACCGGGGATCGAACTCAGGACCTTGCGCTTGCCAGGCAGGCACTTATGCCTCTGAGCTATATCCCCAGCTCCTGTTGTTTTAGAGGGCTACAATGTTTCACTGTAGAAACTACAAAAATAGATATAATGAGGTATGTGGTAAATGGCTATACTTAGATTTTAAGAAATACTTCAATAATTTAAGATGAAGAATATCACAGGAAAATTGAAGTGAATTAACAAAACATACCTAAGCCATTCTGACCACCCACAGCAAATATCTTGTCTTTTACAAATACTAGCCCGTGATTTTTCCTGGCTTCAATCATTGGACAGAGCTCAGTCCATCTGAAAGAAAGAAAATAAAATATTTAATGTGCTTACTTACAGAAAGTAAAGTAACTTATACTAATAACAGAGATCTATTATTCCAATATAAATAAATGCTCATTTACTCCTATGTGTACAAACACACAAAATGTTTGATAGTGATTATGCGGCAGTTTTTTTTTTATTGTGGAGAAGGACATTCTTTAGTTACTTTTTCAATGTACTGCCTCAGGCCTGACCAAGCCATTATTGTTGGGTTCTGGAGGCAGTCTAGCAAAAGCATTGGTGGAAAGGAAAAGATTGCAGAACCTGTGTCCTTGTGGAAAGCCCCGAGGTCAACACTAAATGCCTTGCTGAGGTAAGCCCGAAGGAATGATAAGATGATGCTTAACTAAGTCAAGTCTCATTCCTATAACTGAGTTGTATTGTCCTTGCTAAAACGTTTGGTATCCGTCCATTTGTACTAGCTGCTTCCTTTGTTCTCTCTCAATAAAAGGTGATGGAGATTGGTAATCAGGGCTGCAGTCCGAGGGCTGCAAGCCCCCTGATCCCAGAATTATGCCTCTCTTGTTTTTTCTTGTTTCTCTTGCTTTTCTATTCATCCGCAGGTACCTCATTCTCAGGACCTGTTCACCCTGGACAGAAACTGAATCTAGAACAACATTTTATAAGTGGGATAAACTGGGATTTTAATTCCTTTAAATTCTGATAGAATATGAGAAATAGAGGACAGCTGGAGATCATTAACACATCTTTTAAAGGTATCCATTTCCTGTGGTTTACAGTGACTTTTAAAATAACAACAAAAAGAAAGGGAAGATAGATAGGAAAATATAAAGCACTAATTTTTTTTTTTTTGAGACAAGTTTCATGGTGAAGTTCATGCTGGCCTTGAATTGATATTGTAGCCCAGCTTGGCCTCAAACTTGCATGATCCTCCTGCCTTAGCCTCCCAAGTACTGGGATTATAGGTGTGTGTCACCATGCCTGGCTAAAGCACCAATTCTGTCACTTTTTTTTTTTTTTTAATGTTACTGAAGATTGAACCCAGGGCCTTTGCACTGAGTTGCATCTCCTCCCCCTCCCCCTCTCCTATCCTCTCCTCCCTTCCCCTCCCCTCCCCTTCCCTTCCCTTCCCTTCCCTCCTGCCCACAAGGGGCTTAAAACTTGCAATCTTCTTGTCTCAGCCTCCCAGAGAGCTGTAATTATAAATGTGTGTCACCATGCCTGGCCATATGTGGTTTTTAATAAATATTTATGTTTATGTAGGTACAACACGAAGTTATAATGGGCCTCGGGCAATCAGTATTTCCATCTTTAAAGTAATACTAAGAACTCCCAGCAACTTTGATTTTAGAAGTTCTATAAGTTTGTCAGGTTTAATAACATCCTGTTGCTTTGCCCATAAACTTAAATAATGAAGCTGAGAGTAAAAAGGTGAACACAGTGTTGAAGGGAACACGTTGTTTTTTTTTGTTTGTTTGCTTTTTTTGTTTTTTGTTTTTTTTCCGGTACTGAGGATCGCACTCAGGAACTTGTGCTTGCCAGGCAGGCGCTTCTGCCACTGAGCTATAACCCCAGCCTGGGAACACAGTGTTGAAGGACACTAATTTCAGAGGTAGTATCACTGCATACATAAATAAGACAGACAACTGTGTTTGGTTATGTTTTCTGAGAGTCTACTGCTCCTTCCAAGTACACTTCCATGACTGGTACCTGTCCTGACAAAAATGTCCTGGCACACAAGGCTTGTGCTCTAACAGCACACGCCAAAACAGAACAGCAACAAAAGGGAAATTTGATATAACTAAGATAGTAATGTATTTCCCTTCAAAATTGTTTTTCATAGATATGATCTTACAAAACATACCTAGAGCTCAATGATTCAATGTGAAATATTAACAATTCTTTTGTTGTATTTTATTTATGCGCTGCTTTTTGTTACAAATGTCTCCACAGCCACCACTCTCACTGTAAGGTGAGGTGGGCAGCACAGCTCCTGTTTTTCAGGAAGCTCACACGACTGGCCAGGTGAAATGACCACCACACAGACTGGAAGTGGGAAAGCCAGTGAATATGAGGTCTCTACTGTCACTCCACATGGTGAGCTTTACAGAGTGAGCTATTTTTTTTTTTTTTCCGGTTCCCGGGATTGGACTTCTTGCGTTGGGGTTTGCCGGGCAGTTGTTTTGTTGTTGGGTTAATTCCCCGGCTCCTTAAGGGATTTTTTTTTTTTTTTTTTTGTACTGGGGATCGAACTCATGACCTTGCGCTTGCCAGGCAGGCGCTTATGCCACTGAGCTATATCCCCAGCCCCAGAGTGAGCTCTTATCATATGCTAAACTTAGTACTTGGCTTGGAGAAATTTAATTTATTCATTGCTTTCTTCTCCAAATGTGTCAATGATATAAATTGAGAGTGTGTTTTTGTGTATATCTGAATCTTCTGACAGTATAGAAACTGCACATATCCTCTTCCTTCTATAATTCATATGGAGAGTACTGTACATCATCCCTGCTTTTTGGGCGCGGGGGTGGGGGGTGGGGGTACTAGGAATCGAACTCAGGACCTCACACTTGCCAGGCAGGCACTGTGCCACTGAGCTAAATCTCCAGCCCCTATCCATCCCTGCTCTTCCACCTGAAGTTTAGTGTTTAGAAGATTTACTTAAAATTCTGACTGCTCAAATTGTGTCATATGGTTGCCATAGGTTAACTTTCTTGGCTTCCAGTTAAACACATTCTAGTTACAAAACATTCAAGAAAAATGACAAAATTGGAAACAAGAGTTCTTGTAAAAATAACTTGGATACGATTTAAATATTTTAGAAAGAAAATCATAGTATATATAATGCTATGTTGAGAATTGGCTAAATATATACACAAAATAAAAATTGAAGGGCAATGAAGAAAACATAAAGACTTCAAATTTAACATGTAAGTTCAATATAAATAAAAGAAATGCTAAGCCTTGTAGGTTTTTTCATATTCCTCAAACTGAATATCCATCTAGCTTTTTGTCTGTTCATTTTAATTTTTGTGGTGCTGGGGATTGAACCTAGAGCTCTTCCACTCCTACTGCTCTACTGCTGAGCTACATCTAGTCCTGCATTTACCTACTTTCAAAAATAATGAGGTTACAGAATCCCTTTACACCCTTCCCCTATGAATGAGAACATACTGATTTATACTGATATTGCCCAATTAACGATCTCAAAATTTATATGGCTATGGGTTCCATTTTAAAAGGTTTTTTTTAGAAATGGGAAAATAATTAGTATGAATCAGATCACAATTTTCCAACTAGTATGCTGTAACACGTTTTGAGTATCAGGTTTCTAGGAAGTAAGGCAGAGGTTCAGAATGGAGGGAGAACAGAAAGTCCCTCCACCGTGACACATATAGTTTGAAAGCTACTGGAAAACAGTGTATTTGATGATCTTGTCAGATTACCAGCCTTAACACCTTAGAAAATGATAAATTTCAAGGCAAGTTGCTTCTGCTTCTATTCTTTACATTAGTAACATGTTGAGCAAAAAATGAGAAAAGAAAAATTGTAACTGCATTTTTATTTGGGAAAAAAAGTTACTGATTATACTTCTTTAAATCTTGATTTAAAAGCAGGAAGCACAAATAGATTAATGTATATGACTGCTCATATTATATAATTAACCTCTGAATTAAAAAAAGCAAGAGAATAGAATACATCTACGGTTGGCAGTATGGCAATATTTTTAAAATATAAAACATGAAGCACCAGTGTTTTGGTGCAACTCTGATATAACCGAGTTATATAACAGAGTTAACTTGAACATATTTACTCAACAATTTGTTCTGATAAAGGAAGAACAACAAGCAACTCAATCAAACGAACAAGTGATTTTTATTATCAAAGCTCTTTGTGAATGTCTGAGGTCTTATTTATTCCTTAATTGTGTTTAATGTCACTACACTTACCATCACCCCCATTATTCAGTGAAAATAGGAAAATTCCTTTTATTATGTTGAATGGGTCCCCTCATTAACTACTGATTAGAAAAATGAGAGCTATTTCATTCTTTAACATTTTGCTTTTTAAAAGTAGTTATTTGCTTTTTGCTTGATTTAAGAATACTTTTTTTTAAATACATATTAATCCAAACATATTTTCTTTAGGAAGTATGAACCAAAAAGATATTATACCTGGGGGTATGGTTTATTAATACTATAGCCAATATATAACATTTCTACTTAAGGGTAAATTTAGAACTGATTATAAGGTCCTTCCCTGTGTAATTCCTAACCTCACAAACAAAAGTATTTATGAGTTTGATGAATTAATCAGATGTATCTTTCATAGGTATTTACAAACAGGACCAGAACAAGAGGGCCTTCCATGGGTCAAGCCATTTCTTACAGTGCAAAAGAAGGGTCAAGACATTCCAGTGTTTGAACCGTCTTAATATAAGAACTAAATTCTTCTGTTGGGTTCCTTCGGCTTTATCACATCTTCTCCCACTGAGCTTAGAGAATAACTGGGAAATAAGAGTTTTAAACCGATACGTACGTTTCTGTGGCAGGATCATAAACTTCACAGGAGTTAAGCACTCTCCCGGAAACATTGTTCCCTAAGCTCCCACCACAAACATAGATCAGGCCATTGGCTTCTACCATCCCGTGGCTGCAGCGCTGAGTCAGCATGCTGGGCTTTGTGTGCCAGCTTTCTGTTCTTGTGTCATAGCACTCAAACAAATACAGAGCAGAGTTCCCTGTAAAAGAGAAGGGCACCGTCATGTTTAACGTAATCGTGTCTGGGTGGTGGTGAAGTGAAATGACCGCAGGGCAGAGTTACAGGTAACGAAAGGGAAGTGCTTAGGGTTGTGGAGTCACTTTTTACTCAACAACAACAAAACAACAACAAAAATGTAGGAACAGTTTAAAAAGAGCTAATAACCCTGTTTGATAGACCTAGAAGAACATTTTTAAGAAATATTCTATGTCTTCAAGGTCAGTATACAGGTGGGATTTATCTTAACTTTTACATGTTCATGTAGGGTAGAAAAGCATAGCAACTTACAGATGGTAAATCCACGGCTTAAAATAAGAAAATTTCAATTTCATAAAATATGAAAACTACTATCTGATCATACTCTTAAGGCTTATTTATTATTCTATTATAGCTACTACATCATGAACTAAATTATACTGCACTTCCTGACTACTCTCAGAGATTGTGTAAGCCCTTACGTCACACTAGCCCATTCTGGAGTACACTCTCAAGTATCAAATGTAAGGCGTATACTGACTGGACATGTTAGGGGAAAAACATGTACTCATCATGTTTTGCAACTTTTACACATTATAGAACTTGATAAAGAATTTTGGAAATAATATTATAGATTTTTTTTTGTTTTGTTTTGTTTTTCTCCAGTACTGGGAACAGAACTCACGACCTTGCGCTTGCCAGGCAGGCGCTTTTGCCGCTGAGCTAAATCCCCAGCCCCAATATTATAGATTAAGTGAATTTTTTTCCCCTTCCTAAGAAAAAAGAACTTTACTTATTTCTTATTTCCCATTGTTTTGGGTAATGCCAAATGATACGGGAATAATTACAACACAGCTATCTTTATACTTCTTTATTGCAACTGAGCTCTATGAAAAGTAAAGACCAGAGAATAATACATAGAAGCAAAAACGGGCATGACCAGCAATAATTTGTTTTTAGCTTTTTTTTTAGTACTGGCAATTGAACTCAGGACCTTGAGCTTGCCAGGCAGGCACTTATGCCACTGAGCTATATCCCCAGCCCCTGTTTTTAGCTTTTTAAATATTCAGAGTGACGGACAGGCACCAGAAAATATACAGTATATACAGAGTTTGCCAAAAAAGGTACACACAATTTAGCAGTTTGTCATACTAATAAATGTCTGGAGCTGGGCGTGGTGCATGCCTGTAATCCCAGCACTCCGGAGGCTGAGGCAGGAGGATCACTGTGAGTTTGAGGCCAGCCTGGGCTACAAAGTGAGCTCAAGGCCAGCCTGAACTGCATAGGGGGATCCTGTCTCAAAAAGACAAAAAAAAAAAAAAGTCTGGAAGTTAATGATCACCATTTTGAGCACCTCTTATAACTAGAAGTTGGGGCTAGGGATTTAGCTCAGTGGCACAGCACCTGCCTGGCAAACTCGTGAGTTCAATTTCCGGTACCGGAAACTGCCGCCCAAAATAAATAAATAACTGTAGAGGTTAAAGGTAACTTGTGTTAATCTCATGATAGCTCAGTAAGTTTAGTATTAAAATGTTTATACAAGTTTTTGTTTTCCTGATGAATACTTTTATTGGTGGATTCTGCAGATTAAAACAAAAAACTCACTAAGCAAAAAAATTGACAGTAGAGTGAATGCTGAAGAAATGATGTTATCTACTATACTACAGAACAGTTACTTTCTGTCATCTTTAGGACTGCATTTGAAATATGCCATATTATGACATTAGGTGAAGAATGCTTTTAAGGAGGACACTTTAAATGACATTTAAGAAACCATAGTTTTTCTGGTATACACGTGACATGTGGTGGTAGGTAAAAATTTAAAACAGATAAATACACTGACCAAAAGTGAAAACATTCTCTGAGTTAATATTAAAGTAATCAAAGAAAAAATGAAAAGTCTTAACATTTAAATTCCGTACCTTAGGTTTCCTTTGTCTTCCTAGTTTTCTTAATAAACACATTATTTAGCTAAAGAAATTACTTGAAAAGATGAAAGCATATAAAAGCTATTATGTGTCTAGTTTGGACCTAGAATATTCATTAAGAAAACTTACTCATTTAGAAAAAGATTACTAGATATTTAAAAATTAGCCATCAATGAAAAAGGTTTTCTTTTGTCTTTTTGAGACAGGGTCTCCCTATGCAATTCAGACTGGCCTTGAGTTCACTTTGTAGCCAAGGCTGGTCTCTTGCAACAATCCTCCTGCCTCAGCCTCCCGAGTGCTGAGATTACAGGCGTGCGCCACCACGCCAGGCGAGAAAGGTTTTTATACCCATACCTACATCCTGTTTTGATTAATAAGCATAAAAAACCATTACTAGTCATTAGGTTAAAATCTTGAAATATAAAGCAAATGAAAAAGACCATTATTTATTCTGATACACAGAAAGCAGAATATAGATTTTAAAACCTTAAATTTAATAAAAAGTTCTTAAAAGGATCTACGAGTAAGTCAAATTCTGAAATCTTTAAAACAAATTATATACCAAGCAAATAAATACCAAGAAATAACTAATCTAGAACTTAAATTCAGACAGTGTCAACTAATGCTTTAGTGCAATAAAAAACAGGCAATTAAGAATGTAGGAAGTTGGTATTTTTTTGTTGTTTTTTTATTTTTTTACTTTTTGAGACAAGGTCTCGCTATGGAGTTCAGACTGGTCTTGAGTTCACTTTGTAGCCAAGGCTGGTCTCTCGCAACAATCCTCCTGCCTCAGCCTCCTGAGTGCTGGGATTACAGGTGTGTGCCACCACGCCTGGCCTCAAATTCTTGATTTAAAGGATTAAGGTAAACCTTCAAGAAAGTGGGTTCTAAAATGTGACAAACATGTATTTAAAATACCAAAAGAGTGTGAATACCAATTTTATTTAAATATGAAAGCCAAGATACTTAGCTTTAAAGAACTCCTCTTGAACAAAAAATACCAAGCTGCCCTTACCTACTTCTGAGCCTCCAGATGTATAAATTTTGCCCTCCGCAGCACAGGCAGCAAGGCTGTCCCGAGGTGTTGGAGGGCCCAGTTTGGAGTACCAGCTGTCCTTCACGACATTGTAGCAGTCCATCCGTTTTATGGGGAACAGCTGAGAGCCACCCAAAATGTACACTACGTTGTCCCAAAACACACACGCTGCATCTCTTCGCTTTTCAAAGGGGCAGCGGATATCTGTCCAGCTATAATCCTGAAACAGGAAAAGACAGGCAGCGTCCACTAAGGGAATAATATAATTGAAAAAGACAAAGCACAGATATTGTTGAGGAAATACAAAATACAAAAATGTTTTAAACTGCTGAAATTCACATACAAATGTCTGGCTTGAGAGACTACCAGGCGATTTAATCTGTGTGATTTCTTCAAAATGTTTAGTTGGTGTAGAGGGCAAGAGAAAGGCACATGACTGCTTTGGGTCTTTTCTAGCTTTGAAATAAACAAATACATCTGGTAATGTTTACAATGTAAACCATTACATTACCATTACATTATTAATGGGTATACCATTATTACGTGCCTTTGTTTTCCTTCTATTATTAAAGATAAATAATAATGTAAGAAAACTCTAGGTAGGGAGCATAAACACGATCAAAATACATTTATATATATTGGAACTCCTGGGGATGGGGATTTAGCTCAGTGGTACAGCGCCTGCCTGGCAAGCGCAAGGTCATAAGTTCGATTCCTGGTACCAGAAGAAAAACAAAAAAACAAAAAAGAAAAAAAAAAAAATTTATATACACACACACACACACACACACACACACACACATACACACACACATATATATATTGGAACTCCCTCAAAACAAATGAAACTGGGAGGGAAGAGGGGGTAAAGGGAGTGACAAGAGACAGAATATTAATAACAATGTATATTATGTGTATGTATACATCTGCCCAAATAAAACATATTAATCTATATAACCAAGATACATTAATTTAAAAGTGTGTGTGTGCATGCATGGGTTAAAATAAAGAAAACTCTAAAGTCTTTTTTTTTTTTTTAAACGAAGAGACATCCATTTACAAAATAGCGTAAGAACAATACAAGCAATAATGAATTACAGACCAAGTGGTAGGAAATTAACAATGGTAGCTGTATTACGTATTGATATCTTCCAAGTGGTTTCTCAGGAAAACAAACAGAGACTTGCAAGACTGATCAAATAAGTAATCATTAACTGTTCCTTTCAGTAAAGTGACAGAAGTCAGTAGTACAACTATGTTAGCTATCTTGTATATACATACATACATAATTTCCCCTTCTTTCTTTTCTCTTTTCCCTCAGCCCAGTAAAGTCATTTTGTTAAGCTAAAAACCTCTTTTTCAAATGCAAATAGGGCCGGGGTGGGGGTGGGTTATAGGTACAGCGCCCGCCTGGCAAGCACAAGGTCCTGAGTTTAATTCCTGGTACCAAAAACAAACGGACAAAAAACATCCCAGGACACATGCACAGAACAGTTCTCAAGTGCAAACACCCCCATTTCTTCCCTGCCAGATGTGTAGACTAATATAAAAAAAAAAAATGGATATTATGAAGCTCAAGCTGCCATTAACCTACTGATACCTAGAGGCAGAAGGTATTTTGTGGGCTTGTGAGAGATACTACTTTTCTATAAATATTCACTTGGACTAGTGCAGTCAACAGGATTCTTGAAACTGAAGTCCAGGTGAGGAAGGAGTTCTGCGTGGCCAGGGTACTCTCTCTCTAGTATTTGGAAACATCTACCAGTGCCTTACGGTAAGAGTGGTTTACAGCATCACTGTTTCTTGCATTTAACAGCAACTAAGGGTGTTTTTGCCCACCTTCCACACACATACACGTGGAAAAGCCCTCAAAGATACAGACTGCTGGCTTTTTGAGAAAGGAAGCTCATGTTCCTGCTGTTTTCTGAAAATAGCTCAAAATTAATCAAGATCAGACAGGATTCCAAACAACTCTCAATCTCAACAAGCAAAGGACTGACTATGTGTGACTTTAATGTTGAATTCCCTTGGGGAAAATCTGACTGATTATTACATGAATATTCAGTGTGTCAGGTATTTATTGGGTTTGGTTAACGTATCGTAACATCGGGGGTGGTCTGTTTGGAAAGAAGAGCTCCTTTGTAGGAACTTTTACTCCCAGTGAAGATAAACATTATATCTTAGGTCAAAACAAAACAACCAAAACCAAACCAAACAACAAAAACCTCAAATTAGGATCTGTACCTGCTGCGTTTCTCAGTGGCATACATATTGTGAGGCAAACACAACTATAAGGTGAGCTTAACACCTTCCTGAAGCTTCAATTTTACTTAGTGGACACTGTAAAACTAGGGGAAATATTTTTACTCATTCTTAGAGAAATTGTGTAGCACAGAATGAAATAAAATAATGACCTTATTCTATATGGAGTAATTCCTCAAAGATAAACTAAATGATCCTCTTACACTACAAATCCACTCATACTTACTACCTGATCAAATTTACTTAGCAGAGAAATACAATTTAGCTGGATGTGGTGGTGAACACCTGTAATCCCAGCAGTTGGGAGGCTTAATTAAACAAGAGGATCACTGTGAGTTCGAGGCCAGCCTGGGCTACGTAACCCACAATACATAGTAAGACTCTTGTCTCAAAAACAAAATCCAATTTCATTAATAAACTAAATTAATTCAGTGTATCTCAAGTCTTGCCATTCTTATACCTAATTTATTAGATAATTATTAGTAGAAAGCTACACAGAAATGAAACACACCCCCTCTACACATACTGGGGATTCAACCCACAGGTTTGCCCATGCTAAGCAATTGCTCTATCACTGAGTTACAGTTGCAGTCCTTTTTTATTTTGAGACAGAGTCCTGCTAAACTGCCCACGGTGGCCTCAACTCTCAATCATCCTGCCTTGGCCTCCTGAGTAGCTGTGATTACAGGCATGTACCACCATGCCTGGCATTTTGTATACCTTTCCATGCTCTTCCTTAATCTATAGGAAAAAATTGGTCACATATTCTTATGATTTCCAAGATCTATTGCTCTTCAAATTAAAAATAACTGCCTATGTAGGAGCTGGGAATAAAAAGGAAAAACAAATATGTATTTTCTTCTTTTACCCAAATGTGCTTAAATATTTAGACACCAGGTTATGAGGTTCCAAAAAATGAAATAATTGTATAGAGTTTGATAACAGAACAATTTTAACTTTCTAATACTTCTCAAAGTTTAGAGTAGGGAATAAATATCTGTTCATATGTACCTGTTATTTATGGCTCAGTTACACCCTAAATTTAAGAACTAAAATAAATTGCTTTCTGGGAAGTGTAAGTACACCAGGGGAAAAATGACTAGCCTGTGAGTGCCAGAGACAGAGAGGGAGAGACCAAGTTGGGTTCCAGTATCTCTAGAATTAATTAGTTAAGGTTCCACTAGGTTACCCAGGCTGGTCTTGAACTCTCGGGCTCAAAAGATCTTCCTACTTTAGCTTCCTGTATGCTGGAATTACAGGTACAAGCCACTTTGCCAGGCTCTCAATTTTTAAAATATTTAATGACAATTTTCATAACAATGGCTATTGTAGTATATGTCAGACATTAAGCTTGATTACTATTAACTACATATAATTTTTTGCTTACTGCAGTAAGCCTCTGATTTCCAAACAGTTTGAGTTGCAAACTTGCACAGGTGTAGTGTGTAAGACTCACTCTGCCAGGTTACTACGAAGAAATCTAACCTAGTAATGTTCTCCCTGAATAAACTCTTCTGTAAGTTGGCGACTTACTACAGTTCACTGTCTAGGTAGGTAAGTGAAATGTCCTTTCCAAGCATTTCTACCAAGAATGTAAAATGTACTTCTTTTCAGCTCAAGTTTAATGCTTTATATTTGGGGTCTTTTAAATACACCCGTGGGAGATTAAAAATGGCGGAGTAAAGGCTGGCAACAAAATGGTCTCTCCAGGACCTGGAATCAAGACATGTGGAATTGAGATCCTGGAACAGAACTTTATGAAGAAAAAAAAAAGAAGTAGAACTCTGGGAATGAAGAAGGAGCTGACAGGAAAACTGGAAACCACAAAGAAACTGGAGAAACTGAAGGCAATGCGGAACAAAGCAGCCTAGAACACTAATCCTGGCTCCCAGGGAGTGGGACACGTCTCCGCTAACATAAGGTATGCTCAGAGCAGGCTGGCAGCCCCATGGAAAAACAATAAACTCGCGGACAGTGCTGGCCCCATGAGAAGTGTAGTGTTGTAAGCTGCAAATACGACATGGGGTTTTATACCTCAAGTTACTCCTGCATGGCAGGCTAGAGTTGGAGAAGAAACTTACTGCAGCTGCTGCCGTTCTCGGGAGTGATATAACCAGGCTTCAGATTTACTGTCTAAGACTGAGTTACTACAGGAATCGTAAGTCACAGAACAGCTACACTCCAGGGTTTCTGGTTTCACTTCACCCTATCCTATGAATGACTAGGTACGAGATGGCCATGAGAGACAGTCACAGATCCCCTGAGAAGTTTCAGCAGCAGGTGGTACCATGCTCTGGTGAGAAGCTGGGATGGTTATGTAGTGTTTGGAGGGGGCTGGGTTGGGAAGTGGTCACCGGGGCACTCCTTGGCCCCTTTGCTGCCTACTTCTAGCACAGAGTACAGTGATCTGCTTGCTTTTCCCATCTGCTAACTGATCAGGAATATAAGCTTGACCTAGACAGTGACCACCATCCTGGAGTGTCAGATAGTGGAGCAAGGGAGGTCACCTCAGGAGCCCACAGGCCGTAACGCTGGTGACAGACAGCAGGCAGCTGGAGTACACAGAAGGGCACGAACACTAAGAGCCACAGGAGTGAATACCATGCTGCGGGGGGCACCACACCACGGACTGGCAGCTCCCTTCAAGAAAGGTGGAGCCGGACTCAATATGCGTACAGCAAAAAGTGGGTGTGAAAACAAAACAGGCCCTAGTTGTTAATTACTATCCCCCAGTCACATCCAGTAGATTCCAATACCACAGGCCCTGGAAAGAAACGGCTCCTCCTCACACATTCCTCACACAGAGTTTTTTGGACTCATTTCTCTTTTTGTTTTGGGGGTTTCTTTTTTTCCCATCTTTTGCCCTGTTTTTATTATTCTTTTCATTTTGTTGTCTTTTTGTTACTTTTATCTAATTCTATTAACGTTTTATTCTTAAATTGGATTTTAATCTCACTT